AAGCAATATTACTGACTCATTTGAAATGAGTAATAGGATAGTCAATACAATATTATGTCAAACCTAACATTTGCTTTATTTTTTTTTCTTTCACACCCAGAAATATATCTAAATCCACCAAACAAAGAACCCAAGACTCCAAATTGATTACTTATTGAAATATGTTAACGTGGTGTAATGGGGAACTGCCAAAGTCGGATAGACAATAATATTCCATGAATCACTGTCAGACAATCACCAAGGTTTGTAAGAGCAATAACAAATTTTAAAATCTTTTACACCAAAATCTAGATTCTCATAAAAATGTTACAGGTAAGTGACCTGTATATTACATAGTTCAGTCAAAAGTACCCTTCTGTTTTAGACAGGTCCTCCTTTTGTTTTTCTTCAAAATGCATAGGTCTGTTGTCAAAAGAAAACAATGGGCAGTTTTCTATATAATGTTGCAAGAAAATTTTAAGAGTGCTAATTTCATTGTCTCTACTGAATTCATTGTAAGATTTCAGCTATGGAACAAAGTCTTTTGGAAAATTCCTTTTTATTTTAAAATATATCATACATATATAAGTATATTTTTTAGATTTTGTGTATGTACAGTTTAAATAATAGAAAAATAAGCCTCCTTGTACATACCACTGAGCTGGGATAAAGACTATAGTGTCTGTTTTGGGAACTACCTGGGTGGAACAATGCCTTTTAAGAGCTTGCTTTGTTCTTGAAGTTATTCTGAAAATAACAAAATTAAATTGTTTGGTTACTTTAAATGTGTTTATTGGTTTCTAAAATGTACCCATTTTAGTTTTTTGGTTTTTTTTTAAGTTGCTTCAAAGTCCATTACAATTTGAGATGTAATTTTTAAAATTGAAATGTGATACTTCATACATTTGTTCAGTGTTTAAGAATTATAGAGCATTTCACAGCCTTTGATACTCTGCAGGTTATTTGTAAACTTAAAAGATATACTTCCTGAACAGCACTTATTCATTTCAATGCACTTAAATGGCAGTAGGGGAAAAGTGGGGCCGAAAATCAATTCACACTCAAATAATTGTACTGCCTTTAAACGTTAAATGTGGTCCTTTGTGCCTCAGTTTCCTCATAGACACCTTTACAAAACATACTAACAGCCTCCCAGGATTGACAATATATTTGGCTATTTTATGTGCCTCGTCAAAGAGCTCTACAAAGAGGGAGAAGCCCATGGCCTGGAGCCTGGGCAAAGAACACTTGGAAGCTGGCACCAATCCTGTGTTAATGGAGAAAGGTCAAGGAATAACCATTTCCCATGTCTACTCTTGGTCCCTCCCTGCCTGCTGCTCCTCTGAAGCTTGGCCCTTTGAGGAGGGATGGACCTGTGTGTGATTAGGGTCTCCATGGCCAGGCCATCCTGGGTTACTCTCCAAAGGCCTGGCATCTGCTGCTTGTTCCAATAGCCAAGAAGGAAGCACAGACAGAAGCATTTTCAATTGGTCTAGGAAGGGGGAGAAGTGTAGGTACTGAGGGTTTACTGTGTCAGGCCCTTTTGGTAGGTTCTGTGATTTGATTCTTATGAAAAAAACAAAACTTAAGGATACTACACTAGAAATGAATGTATATTATACAATGAAGTGGGTGTAAAATAATTATAATATTGGCTATAACATACCATCACTTATTTAGCAAAAAAAAATGCTTGATGCATATTAAACTTTGGATAAAATATTTATTTGCAGGGGAAAAATACTGCCCCAACCAGTAATGTCAGAAGAACCACACTCTTTAAAAAAGTCATCTGCATGAAGTTGCAGAGTGAAGGTTCAAAAAATAAAAACAAGATGAATATTTAAATTTAAATGTAAACTTGTCTAGGTGGAGGGAACAATGGTGTCAGTGAGCTGAAGTCAGCGCTTGGCTGTTCCATCGATGTCTACAGTGCCCTACATGTGTATAGCACTATACGATTATGGATACAGCAATAAACTGTTTAAGAAAAAAATCCCTTTCACTATTTCCTTTAGTTCTCCTTTTGCCTATGAAGCACTGCTTTTAAATATTCAGCACTTTTTAAAAAACAGCTTGCTCACATCATCCTACCTGGGTGTTGCGAGTTGTTTTCAAAGACATATTGTTGTGCCATAAAGTAAGCCTGTGCTTTATCAGCACTGGGTTAAATTTAATACTCACCATTCATCAAATTGAATGAGCAGTTGTAGCAATGACTACCAAGTAAGTCAGTAAAACAAATGCTGATGTGAATGTTTATAAAATGGAAGCCCTCTGCTGAAAGCGAGAAAGAGTTGCCCTAGCTGGTTTGGCTCAGTGGAGATAGCATCAGCCTGCAGACTGAAGGGTCCTGGGTTCAATTCCAGTCAAGAGTACATGCCCGGGTTGTGGGCTCTATCCCCAGTTGGAGGTGTCAGGAGGCAGCCGATCAATGATTCTCTTTCATCATTGATGTTTCTCTCTCTCTCTCCCTCTCCCTTCCTCTCTGAAATCAATAAAAATATATTTTTTTAAAAGGAAGAAAGAGTCCTCAGCTGGCCCCCTAAGGATCCCATTTATTCCTGGGCTCTTTTTTATCTCTTTCATTGGATTTTGCCACTTTTCCTAAACTGGTTGAAAAAGAGTCTTGAAATAAAATATTCTCGATTTCTTGGGCTGTTGGCAAGTTGGACCCAAACTTTTGAAGAGGTAATGACATGATGATAGAGATTAAGATCTTGAAGAATAGGAAAAGGCATATAAAAACATCTCGTTTCCCCCTGTAGCTTACTTCCTATAAAATCAGAAAGGTGAAAACCTCACTTGTGGTACCAGGGACTGAGTCCAGACCAAGGGAAAACTCAATAACCGGGACCATCAAGCTTCAGTGAAAGGCTGGCCCACATTTTCATTCATAGCGGGAACAATTAACAAAGTGCCCAAAGATCAACTCCAAACACATTTATCCTTGAGTAGGTAAAGGTGGAAATGACCTTGCCCAAATACTGCACAGAAGGGCTCAGGTGAAATGGATATGGCACACCTAGACAATGGAAAACTATGCTATGGATGTTTTTTTAAATGTATATATGGACAAAAAAAAAGGTGGTGTTATTTGATCAGAAAAATCAATTTACTACATAATCAGTATGCAATACTATACAGAAATTGTATGGTATGATGCTGTTCATATTGAAAACAAATCTGGGCACATCCCAAATTATGTACATTCAAGGCATGAGACTTCAACTTCATGAGAGTCTCGTGTAATCCTCCGACTTCTCCATGTTCAGGAGGACTGGTTTGGATGCCCTGTGCCTGGTGAACAGCTGAGTGCCCCTGCATACGGCCTTCCAAAATGCAAAGTTGTCCAAACTGCATTAAATTATGGATACAGGCAGATTGCTAGTTTATACTAGTGATGCTTTCACGTATCATTTGTATTGTTTTGTTGATTTCTTTTACTTATTTTTATCTGTATCCAAAGGTTTGATTATATAACTTAAGGTACAAAATGTGGGCTGTGTGAGATAATGCGGTATACATGAATGAACGGGTATCACTGGATAGCCATATAAAATAACTATGTAGCTATAGTAGCGTTTGTAGTAATATGTCCAGGGATTCATTTTTGTTTTGTTTCTCATCAATGGATATTCACTTTGGTATGCAGGTCTATATAAGAATCTTCCCACTGAAATAAGTAATAATTATATGATTAACATATAAGAATTCATGAAAGATTTTTCAAGAATCAAGCATCCTTGTCATGCTGGGGTAAGTATATGATAGAAAGTATCAAGAGGTTCAAAGTGGGTCGTCTCTTTTAAAATTTGACTTGTTTTTTAATTCTGTCCTTTTGGTTTTTCTCTGTTTTAAAATTTTTCTATAATGAATAAGTATTATTTTTATAAGGAAAACAGTTATAATAAGATTAAAAGGTGCAATTTAAGATGATAAGGAAACACTTTTCTTGGAAAACCGGGGTAGAGAATTGTAAGAAATGGTTATCATTAGGAAAGTTGGCACTGCCCACAAGGTCGGGGTCCAAATGTCATTAGGAAGAACCAAAATGCCCAGGAGCGGGACCACTGAAAACCTGACCTGGTTGTCTCTTTCCTACCCCACCTTCCTTGGTTTCCATAGGAACACTTGTGTTAACAGGCCTGCTCCTGGCCCACAGGGAGAGAAAGCAGTAAGAAGAAATTAACAGGAGAAGAAAATGTTGGACAGTCTGAGTAAGTGACATTTTTGTAGCCTGAATATTTTTGGAAACTACCTCTAAGCCTTATTGAGGCATAATCATGCCTAATAGGAGTGAGTGACATTTTTGGAGGCTTGTCAGTTACTAGGGAAGGAGGAGGAGAGGAATGTCAATTTCTCAGACACAACGTGCAACTGTATGCAGGGGTTCCTGCTTGTTCCACACGGACCCTAAAAAGGAGTCGTGGATATGCTAAAAAAAGAAGTCACTGACCTAGCACCATTTCCTCTGCACCAGAGCTTCTCAAACCTGAAGGTGCCTGGAAGTCAACCAGGGATCTCATTGAAATGCAGATCTGGACTCAGCAGTTCTGCGATGGGGCCTAGATTCTGCATTTCCAACACCCGCCCAGGTGGAACTGCTGATAGTGCTGGCCAAGGTCTGAGCAGAATGGTTCAGGGCGCCTTGAACAATACTGATCTGAGTTAATTGGTCCACGGAGAGCAGAGAAGGAACCCTTCCACCTGGTCTCATTAGGCTCCTGCTTTGATCAGCTGCTGGAAGGGGACCAGACTGAGTGCTAGGAGCAATGCTCAAGGTCAAATACGAGCCTAGGACAGCACTCAGTGATTGACGTATAAAATGCCCCCTAAAGCCCAGAAGAGATATGAAAAAGAATTTAAAAAAATGATTAATAGGGAGTAGAAAAATCATATCTGTTATCTTCATCAGAGAATAAATACAGACTAACCACTGAGAACAGAATAGCCTGTCAGTCTCAGGCAGGAGCCTTCTAAAGAACATTGGGAGAGTCCCCTTTGTAAGTGGGTCCCACATTCTCAGCAGATCCCCCAATAGAGCCCCAAGGAAGGCCACACACCTTTGCTGGGAAGAAAAGCAGAGGGCCTTTCCTGTCGCTTGCATCATTTTTCCTGCTCTGGTTTTATCTTGGAAGCCCTGGGATCGGAGAAATTTTCCCAGTTCGTTTTCTTCTTGAGACAAGACTGGTGAAGAAAAGACCAAAAGGCGCCATGAACAATGAGCATTTTTATTACAGAGCGAAGGACAGAGACAAACCCCAAGGTCCTCTCTCCGCTAGCGTCCAAGATGAGATGAAATGAAATCCAAGTGACAGGTTACAAGGTAAGCTCCCCACCCCCTCCATTTAACTTTTGTGCTGTTCTTCCATTTACAAAAACGAGGGATCAAATTCACTTGAGTACATCTGTCAGTGCATTTGGTGCCCTGTAATCGGAACCAGAAAATGACCTCTGTACTGAAAAGCGAGCCGATAATGTGCTGTTGGGAGCTGAAATGAAAAAGTTAAGTTTGTCGAGTATGACTGTGGGAATCTTCGGTGGCTGCCTACAATGGAGGGTCAGTTTCCTTCTGCTTTTCTCTCCTGCTGACTCTTTGATCTCTGCTTTCTGAGTTAGCAATTCAAATACTTTATCTGTGACCCAGGTTTTTGGTTGGTGGTGGGGATGAGGAGCGAGGGTGGGTAGGTTGATGACTTGGTGAATTTTTAAATGCAGAGCTAGAATCAAAATCTGACCCAGTTATGCCTAATCTTGGTCTTATTTTTTTTCAGTTGATGTATAGTTGACATACATTAGATTCGTTTCAGATATACAACATAATGATTCAATATTTATATTGGTCCTTATATTTAAAGGTAACCTCAGATGACACTATTGGGTGAGCTAGTGACTGGCACAAGCTTTTCTATAGATTGATTTGGCAGTAAATATAAATGTCTCTTTTGACATTGCACTTCTGTTAGGAGTACATCCTAAGGAAGTGGTAAAATGAGCACAAAGATGTATATACAAAGATAATCACAGCATCATGATTTATAATAGCAGAACACTCTTTTTCCCTATAGTGGGGATGGCTGAATCAAGCACAGTGCACCCAACCAGTGACCAGTGAGCCCTTATGCAGCCACTGGTCCCGAATACACACTCACCACCAGCTGAGCAAGGAGTGACACTGAGCTCCCTGGAGAGCATTGTGCCTAAACACAGCAGTTGCTATGGACATCCTCTGAACACGACCACTCTTATTTCACATTTCTGGATTGATGCTTTTACACATCATGTGTCTCTAAAACTACTTTTTAAATACTACCCGGATTCCGGTCCGTTTTCATGAACCATCCCGATTTCTTTGAGAATGCCCTGTGTCTGACACAACCTCTCCAAGAATGGCTACACAATGTTAGCCCAGAACCACAAATCCAAAGGTGAAGGTCAAATGCTCTATTCTCCCTTATTAATTTGTGACTGTGGTTTGCTGGAGACATTCCGGAGGAGGAAGAGGCTTTTAGAATCCATTCTTCCTGAGAGATGAATGACTACCTCCTTCCTCTTCTGCCTCTCAAAATCAAGTTCATGGTCAAAGTCCAGCTCAACGGCTACATCCTCCGTGAAGTGGTTGATCCCTATTTCTCTATGTCAGCAATGTCCCCTCAGCATCGGGTATCAGAGTGTTTGTAGGTGTCTATTTCCCATGAGAATCTAAGATTACTCAGGACAGGACCTCATGAAAACTATGGCTTTCCCAGGAAAATGCTTTAATTGGGGAAACTGGATTAACTATAATTTCCCCCTTGTTATCCCTGTACACTTTGTTTCACTTTAAATGCTTATCTGATATTTATGCCAGTTGATGGCGAACCTATGACACGCGTGTCAGGGGTGACACGCGAACTCATTTTTTTGGTCGATTTTTCTTTGTTAAATGGCATTTAAATATATAAAATAAATATCAAAAATATAAGTCTTTGTTTTACTATAGTTGCAAATATCAAAAAATTTCTATATGTGACATGGCACCAGAGTTAAGTTAGGGTTTTTCAAAATGCTGACACGCCGAGCTCAAAAGGTTCGCCATCACTGATTTATGCCATGGTTCTGTGTAGCTTTAAAAAATTCCTATAATTATAAGAAGGGTTTTTTTTTAATGTGTTTTCCTTTATTGATTTTTAGAGAAAGAGGAAGGGAGAGGGATAGAGAGATAGAAACATCAATGAGAGAGAAATGTCATCAACAGGCTGCCTCCTCTATGCCTTCCGAGCTCAAAAGGTTCGCCATCACTGATTTATGCCATGGTTCTGTGTAGCTTTAAAAAATTCCTATAATTATAAGAAGGGTTTTTTTTTAATGTGTTTTCCTTTATTGATTTTTAGAGAAAGAGGAAGGGAGAGGGATAGAGAGATAGAAACATCGATGAGAGAGAAACATCATCAACAGGCTGCCTCCTCTATGCCTTCCACTGGGGATTGAGCCCACAACCCCGGCATGTGCCCTAACCGGGACTTGAACCTCGACCTCTTGGTTCCTGGATTGATGCTCAACTACTGAGCCACACTGGCTGGGCAAAGTTTTGTTACTTTTTTAAATACCTTTTATTCCTTCTTCTCTTCACTTACTAATGTGAGACTCATTCAGTTCCACAATGAATCTTTCCCTGTGGGGAGGAATTTCACATTCGTGTTCATAATTGCATGAGGCTACTGTCACCTTTACCTTGAAGCCTCAAGTCACATACAAATGAACACACTTAGCTTAAGGCTAGGAAGAAACCAATTCATGGAACCTGGATGATTACATGGTTGGAGAAATGTACTCTTTCCTAAATAAGCCTAAGTAGGTAAAAGCATTTGAAAAATCATTTTTTGTTACTTGGTGCACTTGAGGCTTGACCTTGGGGCGGCAGACAGTTTTCAATTTGAGAGCTAGACTCTAATTGGCAGTGTTGCTCAGAGGGCGGTGGAAAGAGTTTGAGCCGCATCAGGCTCCAGGTTGATTACTTAGTGATGGCCATCATTTTCTGAGAAGAGATGTTCATTCCTTAATGCTAATTTAAAAAATACTTCAGTTAATTTATAGACATTTACACTTCTTCTAAGGTAAGAAATAACTCAAAAGTGTATAAGTTCTCATTTTCCTAGGGTTTAAAAATTCAGAGACAAATAGAAAGCTATTTATATTTAATTGCTAATTAGATTTTTCAGATGTGCCCTAAAAAGGCAACTAAAGAACTATAAAAGCAATTAGCTTGGCAGCATGAATTCACGCAGCACAGAGGGAATTAATTTATGGATGGTCTTAGAGAAATGAACAAGGCACACGAGGTACCTGCTCCGAGGAAGCTTACGTTCAAGCAGCAGGAGATAGAAAATAAAAAAATACGGAATCGCAAACTCAGTGCCAGAGAGAGAGAGAGAGATTTGTGGCTGCTTTGTGGTGGTAAGAAGGTATCTCTGAGCAGGTGACCATGAAGTTGTCCCCTGAATGACAAGAAGGGGCCACTCGAGAGAATTAGGGCAGGGACCCTTCCCATAGAGGAAACAGTAACTGCAAAAGGCCTCAGGTCACCTGGTGGGTAAGGACAAAGGTGGCTGGAGGGACGAGTGGGGCTGATCACGTAGGAATTTATAAGCCAGGGTATGGAAGTTTGGATCTTATTGTAAGCACTGCTGGAGGCTTTTCTGCGGAGAAGCAATGTGTTCCAGTGTACATTTTTGTAAAAGTTTTAATTTTTAAATAATTCAGGCTTATAGCAAAGCTGTCAGTGGAATTGGGGGTCACCACAACATGAGTTCCTCTATACCCTTCGTCAGCATCCCCTAATGTTAGCATCTTACATAACACTATGGCTCAATGATCACAAGTAGGAAATGGACACTGGTGCAATACTAGTGACCAAACCACAACCTTATTGGAATTTTACTAATTTTCCCATTAATGTCACGTTTCTGTTCCGGGACCTGATCCAGGACCCCACACAACATTGAGCTGTGGTCTCCCCAGCCTCCTTCCATCTGGGATAGTTCTCGGTCTTTCTCTTCTTTCACAACCTTGATGCCCTTTAAGAGACCTTGTCAGGTATTCTATAGGATTTACCTCAATGTGGGTTTGTCTGATTTCTCATGATGAGAATGGGGTTATGGATTTGGGGGAAAGAAACCACACAGGTGGAGTGCATGGTATAATATCACCACATATCTCACTGGTTATGTTCACCTGGATCCCTTTTGTGGATGCTGTTGACTGGGTTTCTCTACTGTAAAATTATTATTTTTTCCCTTTTGTAATTACTAAAAATCTTGGGGGGTAGGGGGAAGGGAAATACACGAGACTATGCAAATCTCCAGTTTCTCCTCAAACTTCCATTCATGAATTATAACATCTTTCAGTGCAGCCTAACCGCCCTGATTCTTACTGCGGTGTTTGCCTACTGAGGATTCTGTGGCTCCCTCGTTCTTTCCATATTTATTAATTGGAGTTATTTCATATGGAGGAGCTGTCACTCCTCCTTGTTTATTTCCATATAGATTTTATGGATCTTTATTTCACTTTACAGGTTATAATCCAACACAGTCCATTTATTTTGTTGCTCAGATTGTCCCAGCTTTGACCACTGAGGGCTCCGGGAGCCGACCTATTGCTCTGTGATTGCAGTGGAGACAGTGGGCTGGAGGAGGCACGAATGGAGGCAGGGAAACCAGGTAGGAAGCTGATGCAGAAAACCAAGAGAGTGATGGTGTGGGCTGACCTGAGACAGAGGCAGTGAAGATGGCGAGAAGGAGAACCTGAAGCAGCGGTTCTCAACCTGTGGGTCGCGACCCCTTTGGGGGTTGAACGACCCTTTCACAGGGGTTGCCTAAGACCATCGGAAAACACATATATAATTACATATTGTTTTTGTGATTAATCACTATGCTTTAATTATGTTCAAGTTGTAACAATGAAATTGGGGGTCACCACAACATGAGGAACTGTATTAAAGGGTCGCGGCATTAGGAAGGTTGAGAACCACTGAGTCCTGAAGGGTGTTCAGGTGGCCAATGGACCTGTCACTGAGACCGACGGAATGTGGGACGTGGTGGAGGTGTGTGTCCTGTGCCTTGTTTTCCTGCTCAAGACTACGGAGTCACAGCCCCGGAGAAATCTTCGCTCCAACTTAGTAAGCAGTAGCATAGATAATTACAGAATTCTGCCTCTGAGTCCTAGGACTTTGTACTTATCCCCAAACTGTCTTAATAGAAGGTTACTAATAAAGGAAAACGACCAATTGTTAATTAGTGACTACTGGAAAGGTGTTTGACAGCAGTTAAAAACAGAAAAACTTCCCAGTTAGTCTCGTATAGAAATTGTACGATTAAATCACCTACAAATGGAAATATAAAAACATACTAATCTACAACTTGATATTCAGCATTTCAGAGATAACATTGTTGGTAATGATTTTAGGACGGGATGGCCATAGGAAAGTCTTGTTCCCTAGTAACCCAACAACCAATAAAACAATGTTGACCAGGAAGCACTGTCAATAAAACACTGTCAGTGCATTAACTGTATGTGCCTTCTCTCTCCATTTGGTCATTTCAAAACCAACAAGATTAGAAATAAGAGAACCAAGGCAATTTAAAAAAAACAAATTTTAAAAATGGCAAGATATAAGCACTGACAAAGCTTTTTTATGATTAGAAAAAGAAATGGCATATATTTAATTATGGGAGACCCAATATAAAATTCTCCTATTACGTTACTTGCATTGAAAGGTAAACAGCCTATGTAAAGGATTTCTAATAAAATTATTAAAGGTCTCCTCCCCACCACTTAGAGAGCAAAGGCAAACACTCCTAGTCAGCAGTTTCTTTGTCTTACTTCCTAAGCACATGCAGTGATACAGTAAGGCAAAATATCCTATTTTTTATTAATAGATCAATATTCGTACTTATGGTATACTTACAACATATTCTCTTTTGATAGAGTACAATTGCTTTAGACAAGTCCAAACAGGTTCTCTGAATTGAGTGAAACAGCTGTAATAAAAATACAAACAAAATGTGAAATAAAACAGAGAGCAGTGAATTAAAAAATAATCACACTCAAGACAACCTAGTGTTTGATTTGCCCACTAAAAACAAGATCATGTGACCAAGTGTGCTTGGTGGCATGTGGCGGACTATACAGAAACTGTGATCAAAGCCTTCCAGTATGCTCCTATTGTCTGTATTTATTGGGATTCATCATCTCCGCAATCTAAATTAAGATCTGCAGAACGATTTCCTCCAGACAATTGAAATAATAGCTGAAAAACAGAAATCCTAAGTGAAGGGCCCAATTAGATGACTTGGTAAACCAGAGACCCAATTTTCATTCATAATCCAATTTATTTCTTTTACCACTTGCGGTCTTTTTTAAAAATGGAGAATCTGTCAAGTAAACATCGTATTTAAAACATGAGAGTAACTTAGTCGGTGATCCTAATGTCCTCGGTGGCATGCTCAAACAACTCCATAAAAAGCAAAGAGAAATCAATCAACTGAATGTTGTGTCTGCTTAGAAGACCTCTGGTAACATGGAGTTTACCTAGCAGCCCCATCACTCCTTATTGTCCCAATGATTTCATAAAACACACAGAGAAGAGACGGAATGCTATGCTATAGCCATCACAGAGGAAGTGAAGGGAAAAGCAGGTGGGCTGTACTTTTAACTCATGGTGGACCTGGTCTTTGCTTCAGAAACGGAGACAGCTCAGGAGAAGATAGAAGAGATACTTCACACTTTGTCCACCAACCCAGAGGCCAGGGCTGGTCTCAATGAGAACACCTGGCAGACAACAAGCAGGCTTTCCCGCTCTCCCTCTGAGCTTACTGCCCTGGTGATGCAGCAATTATGTCCTGGTATTAGAAAAGCCCTTCCCTGTTTTAGTCAAAACTGATGATCTGCTTCAGAATATATACAACCACATTAATAAAATGAAGGCATGCGTATGACCTTATGCCTTACTATGATAAAACTTGGACACAAAGAGTATAAATTTTACTAAATCTCATTTCATTATAAGGCATCCTCTACCTGTGTAGAAAAGAAAAACAACAACAACCCTTTACGCTCAAACAAAATAGAAAATCAGCAGTCTGAATTCTGTGCCTTAACAAATGCTTAATATCAGTATTCTGGGTCACCAACCAGCAACACATACCAACTCTCAAATATGGGAGCGAGGAAATTCCAAAAGTATGTTCAGAATCTGATCTGTTGTCACTGTTCACGTTTTAAAAACTGCAGTATAAATTAAAATGCGGTAAAATGCACGCCTCTGCAGTGTTAGTTCTGCGAGTCTGACAACTGTACACACTCTAGTAACCACACCCAGCGAAAGAGGAGAAACATTTCCACCATCTGGTCGGTCTCCTCTGCAGTGTCCCCCACTGAAAGACTTCCGTCAGGTTAGTGTTGCTTGTTCTTGTACTTAGAGCTATTTTTGAGAAGATGATTTTATTAACAAGCAATTTTGACAAATATTGGAACCTAGTGCAACATTTCTACATTAACTTCCCAACAGATTGAAATGCAATCTGACCATGATTTTAGCTTGGCACACAGCTGTTTTTTAGGCTTGCCCTATATGGATAACAGTGTAGGACCACATCAACATGGTTTGCACACTGTTTTCATATGGTTTATTGATGGTTGATGGAATCCAGTCTCTTTATAAACATCAACACCAGTATTAACATTTCTGCAACAGAAACCTCTATCATGTGTCAAATTATTAGTCACAGCTAAGTGCTTTGGACACTCTAACCATAGGACAGCAGCTATTTTTATAAGTATAGTTGGTTGTGTAAAAATGCCCCTGCAAGAGTCTAAATATAAATATAAAATTGTTGTGCTGTGTTTAATGTACGAAGAATTAACACAGTAAAATCCTTTTTGAATGAGGCTTGTATTTATTAGGGTGTTAAGTAGAGAAACATAAAGCTATACAATGTGAAAAGCATTAGCAACTTATAATCATTTCACCTGTATTCAAAATACTAAAATCAGAATAGTACGTGGTGGTACTTTTTTCCATTGGCGCAATCTCCATTAGAACATCCCTGTCAAACCCAGCTTCTATTTTGAACAATTCCAATGACAGAGGGAGGGTTGGGAACTAATATTAATTGCATTAACATGTACACTTATTCCGCCAATGGTTCCTGAATGTGTACTGTGTGACTGGCTGAGGGTGCAGTGGTGACTAAGGCAGACATGGAATTTGACCTCCTACTGGAGGAAGAATAGGCAAACCAACCAACACTTGAGACAATTTCATGAGAGATGAGTATTATGCATAGTGGCCTGGGTCTGGTTCTACCGTTAGATGAATTATCCCTCTTCCACATGACAGACCTTCCTATATAGTTGACAACTAACCTATCTCCCCTTAAACCTCTCTCTGTTCTAATACAACCACGACTTCCACCATCTTGGCCACCCTTCTCAGAAAGCTTTCTGAAATCTTGAGCTTTCTGTGTTAGTCCCATTAAATGTTGAGCTCATTAACTTAGTTTACATATTAAATGTGGAGATCACTTTGAAGTCTTTCAGGTCACGCAACATATTTTTCCTCTCAGTGGCCTATCATTCACGGAAGTAAACTTTTTAAATTTTAATCTAAACTACTGGCAGAATGACTAAGAAGACAGGGAATTAGTGGGTCTTCTACCAGTTATATTGGTATTCCAGGATCAACCAGATATGAAGTCAGTGTACTGTATTATTAACTAGTCTAACTAAATATCTGCTTTGTGAATTCACTCTAGAATTTTCCAGGGTAGGACACCAAGCCTACTAGATTCTACTTTACAGAACCAGTTATTCATCCTTTTTTTTAAAAAAAAAATTATTTTAGAGAAAGAGGAAGGAAGAGAGAGAGAGAGAGAAAGGAGAGGGAGCAGGAGAACATTGATTGGTTGCCTTCCATATGCACCGACCAGGGATCGAACCCTCAACATTTCAGTGCACAGGACGATGCTCCAACCAACTAAGCCACACTGACCAGGACCCTTTTGTCTTTTTCAAAATGTAAATATTAGCCCTAACCGGTTTGGCTCAGTGGATAGAGCATCGGCCTGGGAACTGATGGGTCCCAGGTTTGACTCATGGATGTTTCTAACTCTCTATCCCTCTCCCTTCTTCTCTATAAAAAAATCAATAAAATACATTTTAAAATGTAAATATTTGCCAGACCCCTGGGGTTGATATCACTAGCAGTAGTTCTTTAATTGCATTAATGTTTTTCAACAAACATTTACTGAGAATTTACCACATTCCATGCATTCCAACGAAGTGTAAAAAAACCCTATAAATCAACAGAGGCATATGGATAGTTACACGAGAATTTGTAGGTGTTTGTTTGTTTAAATAGGCTGGGATTGGATTGATCCCAGATTATCCTCACGAACGAACGAGTTGTTTGCAATAGATTTTCAAATATAAGCACACCTATGCTTGCCCAGGTGAGTCACTCTAGGGCCCTGACGGAAGCAGGAGGGCTGTGCTGGGGCAGAGAGAAACGGCGCTCACCTCCAGCTTGGCATCCAGGTCTGCGTCAGAGGCCACAACATGTTCATCCTCCTTCTTCCCCGTGGCTTTAATAAAGGCCTGTTTCGTTTCCCAGTACTTCTGCTGCATCTTATTTACCACGGACTGGTCCTGAGCACACCGATCCTGCAAGTCCCAGGGGTAACTGCTAAAAACATTCAAAGAGCTCTTTTACTCATGACGTTCATTAACGACTGAGATAGTTTAGTGTGAATGAACTTACCTAAACATTAAACTATACACTTACAACATTCATAAACATATAAATACTTTCCTTTATGATTATTACACCAAAAATGTCAATCAACTCTGACTCCAAAAGCTTAAAAGTTAGTGAAGAAATGAAATAACTTTTGCAGGAAATTTTAGAAACTGAACCTCCACTACTGAGTGTAGTTATCGGCAGGCAGGACACACCCCTGGCAGAAAGTGAGGCCAAGCCAGGCAGGGTGACTGGCTCAAGTCGATCGTGAGTCAGAGATAAAGCCGGACACCAATGTTCTCTCCACTCCAGCACGATGGCCAACACTGAAGTGATGGCAGGAAAGCAGAGATAAGGCGCTGAAAAATAGCGTGCTTACCATCTGTCACAGAGGTGCCTAAAATAGCCAAACTCAACTCAGAGAGTAGAAAGGTGGCTACCAGGGGCTGGATGGGGTGAGGGGGGAATGGGAAATTGCTAGTCAATGGTCATAAAGTTTCAATTATGTCAGATGAATACATTCTAGAGATGCAACTTTGCACCCAGAGTTAACAACACTGCATTGTACACTTAAAATATTATTAAGAGGGTATACCTCTTACCAAAGTCAAATAAAATTTAAGAACATTAAAAAAAATTAGATTTCTGATATTAAAGCTGTGGTTTATTAAATATAAATGCTTAAAATACATTACATTCTTCTGAGAAAATATAGTGAAGATCAAATAAAAAAAATTTTTTTTAAAAATTGAGAAAAAAATGGAATTCTGTAAAAGTGACCAGAGTACCTCAAATATTGACAGGAAGTTTGCCATTGGTGCTGCATCCCTCCCCATGTTGTCTACACCCGCCCCCTGTCTAGAGTTCCTGCTCCAGAGGCTCACATAGGACCTCGATGTCGCTCCTATCCAGACATGCATCATATTCTAACCCATGCTATTGCCACTTAAAATATGCCAGGCCTGTGTCCTAAAACAAGAGCTGCACATATCAAAATACCTGTATCTCAAAACCTGATGACTTATAATCTCCTTCCAGATAACATTTACAATTTTCAATTCACAGGTTTATTCTTAAAACGTCATAAGGGATTTCAGATGACTTTCTCAGCAAAGGTTATCTTTAGAGAGAGAAGTAGGATTGGAGGGACTTTCATGGTTTCTGCACTATTTAGAAGTTTTCTTATGAGCTTACATAATAGAAAATAGGATAAAAATATCTATAACATTTATGTAAAAGATAATCTCTCTATAGAGTGTGTATGTTAATAGATTGGAAGGATACCAGGGGTGGGCAAACTTTTTGACTCAAGGGCCACAATGGGTTCTTAAACTGGACCGGAGGGCCGGAACAAAAGCATGGATAGAGTGTTTGTGTGAACTAATATAAATTCAAAGTAAACATCATTACATAAAAGGGTACGGTCTTTTTTTTTTTTTAGTTTTATTCATTTCAAACGGGCTGGATCTGGCCCGCGGGCCGTAGTTTGCCCACGGCTGAATAGCCCCACCCCCAAAACTATGGTTATTTCAGGGGAATGGAATTTTCAAGAATGAGGAATTGGGTAGACTTCTTTGTATTGTGTCCCCCCACCCCACCCCAAAAGGTCATGGATTAACAGTAAGAAGAATTCCATTTTGAAAAAAACCAAAGGGACTTTAGAGATCTAGTGAAAATGCCTCGCTTCACCCCCGGTCATTTAACAAATGAGAAAACTTCAGTTTTCAAAGGTTAAGAATCTTGTCTGTAGTCTCACAGGATTAAAATCCAGGCCCCTGAATCCCAGTCCAGTGATCATTCCAATAGTCTCTGCAGCCCTTGTAATTCAGTGGCAAGCAGAGAAGTGGCCGAATGAGTGGGAGAAAGCCTATGGGGAAGGCCCACTTCTTGGGGTTCTGCTGTCTCTCTTATACAAGTGACTACCTACTTCCCTGAGCCCAGAGCCCGCTGCCTCGGTGTGACAGCCATCAGGAGGGTCACAGGATGGAACCATCCCCTTGTCTTAATGAGGTAGATGGAGTAATTAAAAAATATCTGACAGCTCTTACTTAGAAAGCTGTCAAATAAGGATACTCAGGGAAACTAAATCCCTTCGCCATTTATTAATTACCCTTTAAAACCCATTACATTTTTAGAGATGCAAAAATTTGACATTTTATATTAAAGAGAACCTATAGCTGATTGCTTCTCTACTGAGAGAGGAGGGATTAGAAAGCACATTCTCTGTTGTAATTAATTGTTCATTTGATCAATAAAAAATATGCACCACATTTTTCATGATACAAATTTAAGGTGGTAAAACAAGACAAAGATCTGCTTGCCTGGTGGGCCAAGGGTTCAGAAACACTGCTTGAAACAGATCTGGAATTTATAAGATGTTACCCATGCTGTTTAGATGTGCCATAGGCACATAAGTGTTGGTGCTAACATTGCCATATGATTACCATGCCTATTTTATTCATCATCATTAATTCCAACAGTGATTGCCTCTTGAATGTTCATGAAGGTTAAAGTCATGAGTATAAATTAATGAGTCTGAGTTCCTATTCATTCAATTTTATAGTCTGCCTACATAAAATTCCCTATAACCCTAATATTAGAAGTTGCAAATAAGATAATGATAAAATAAATATACTAACTTTTTACATTTGAAGAAACGGTGGTAAGAAAAGCCAACATTAGATTCTCAAGAGAAAATTTATATATAAATTTCTTAGAGAATACTCATTAGGTAAGAACTTATATTTTTGGTTACTTAGTTTCCATATCACATTTAATAGGGTGTTGAACTTGACTATACCCAACATTGGAATAGGGACTGACTAAGAGGTTACTGTGGCTAATGTGACTATTGATTTTTCTATTCGATAGACATTTATTGAGCATCTACTATGTGTTTTCCTCTTCCATTAGCCTCTCCCAATTCAAAAAAGGCAACAAATTACTTACCATTTGTGTCCTGACATGTTTCCTTCTTCTTTTCCTACTGTTGATGATTTGGGGAGAAGGGGCAGGGAAAAAGCATGAGAGGATAAGTTATATTAGAACCTGAAATAAAACAAATATGTTTAACAGTTACACACTATATTACAATTATATGTTAAATTGACACATAAAATTCCAATCTAAACCACTTCTAGCTGTATTTTAGGGGCCCAACACTACTATGCAATAACACTGTACACTGTTGTCAAGAATAGTTTAGCTAAGTAACATGGAAGAAATATCCCAAATGAAGTTTAACAAGTGAACAAGCAGGTTGAATGACAAGGGAAGGTTGTAGAAGACTACATAAAATGAGATCATATCATGCAAAGCAATATACTGTAACCAATTGAAGCATAGAAATATTATATAGCGAAGGTATAAAGAACTGCTTAGGAATAATGAACACTAAATTCCAGATAACAGTTACCACTGCAGTGGCAGGTGGAGGCTATTATTCAAGAGGTACATGCAGGGACTGCAACTGTACCCTCAGTGTTCTCTGTTAAGCTGGGTGGCAAGTATTGCATCCGTATGCCTCTTTAGAGATTTGAAATAACTCAGAATCAGTATTTAAAAAACCTGAACCAGTAGGGGCCCAACACTACAATGCAATAACACTGTACACTGTTGTCAAGAATAGTTTAGCTAAGTAACATGGAAGAAATATCCCAAATGAAGTTTAACAAGTGAACAAGCAGGTTGAATGACAAGGGAAGGTTGTAGAAGACTACATAAAATGAGATCATATCATGCAAAGCAATATACTGTAACCAATTAAAGCATAGAAATATTATATAGTGAAGGTATAAAGAACTACTTAGAAATAATGAACACCAAATTCCAGATAACAGTTACCACTGCAGTGGGGGGGTGAGGGGGTGGAGGCTATTACTCAAGAGGTACATGCAGGGACTTCAACTGTACCCGCAGTGTTCTCTGTTAAGCTGGGTGGCAAGTATTGCATCCGTATGCCTCTTTAGAGATTTGAAATAACTCAGAATCAGTATTTAAAAAACCTGAACCAGCCCATTGCAAAAACAAAAAACAAACAGAAAAAGGGTAAAAAAGGAGAAAAATGTATTTATTTCTGTTTTTACCAGCCTAATACTGTATTTTCATCTCATTCATAAATATGGAAGTCACTTGATGCCTTTGCCCCTCACTCCCTTTGCCCCACTCAGGGAAGCTGCCAGCCAAAAGGGAGGGCGGAGCCAGCCAACCCAGCCACACTTACCTACCAGTTACTGGAAAGAGTGGTGAGCTCACTACCGAAGGGATGGCCTCTGGCCAGACACGGATTGCTGGCTGCCAGAGTGGATGCTCAGTGTGCTAGTCTGGGTGCTTCTGGCTACACCAATAAAACCAATGCAATCCTTCTCCCTTTGCCTTAGAAAGGGTCCTGACAACTAGGACCCCTGAGATGATTAAAGTCCTCCAGGCTTTTAAAAAATGTGTTAATGGAACTAAACTGAGTGTTGAAATTCCAGGCTTCAGGTAAGAGGAAGAAGGACATTTTCTGTGAGTGCCCAGATGCTGCTGGAATGACAGCATCCTGTAATCAGCAGCTCTCTTCCCCCTGGAGGGCACCCAGGTTTTGGACGAGTTGCTTTGGAAATGACATTCATGATGAGTAAGCCTTGCCCTCTGCTCAGTAAATCGCGGAGAGGCCATGAACCTCCCACACAGCCTCACAGCAAGGACACATTTACTTTACTTAGCTCAAAGCTTTCAACGAAACTTCTCATAAAAAGATACTGTTCAAGGAAATGAAACTATTATAGTCTTTCCTTAAGTTGGATTTCACCAGGAACTATTAGGATAATTAGTACTTTCTGATTAATATTTTTATTGCAGTAAAAAAAATGACAAATTTATTCTCTTTTAAAAATTCCCCACCCCACCCCCCATTGATTTTTAGAGAGAGTGGAAGGGAGGGGGAGAGACAGAGAGACAGAGAAACATCGATGTGAGAGAGACACATCAATTGGTTGCCTCTGTACACACCCTACTGGGGCTGGGGATCAAGCTTGCAACCTAGGTATGTACCCTTGACCAGGAATCAAACCTGTAACCCTTCAGTCCTCGGGCCAACGCTCTAACCACTAAGCAAAACTGGCTAGAACTCTCTTAACAATTTTTAAGTGTATAGTACAGTATTGTTAACTATAACATTGTTGTACAACAGATCTCCAGAACTTTTTCATCTTGCATGACTGATACTATATACCCACTGAACAACTCCCTGCTTTCTCCTCCTCCAACCCCTAGCAATGCCAGCCATTCTACTTTCTGAGTTTGACTATCTTAGGTATTTCATGTAAGTGGAATCATGCAGCCTTTGTTCTGTGATTGGCTTATTTCACTTAGAACAATGTCCTCAAGGTTCATCCATATTCTAACATATGATACGTTTTCCTTCCTTTTTAAGGCTGAGTAATATTCCATTGTACATATGTAGCTCCTTTTCTTTATCCATTCACTCACTGATGGACATTTATCTGGCTTCCACATCTTGGCTATTGTGTATAATGCTGCAATAAACATGGGTGTGAAAATATCTCTTTAAGATCCTGTTTTTATTTTTTTAAGATATGGACCAGAAGTGGGATTGCTAGATCAAATGGCAGTTCTATTTTTAATTTTGTGAAGAACCTTCATACTTTCCCCCACAGTGACTGCACCATTTTACACTCCCTCCAACAGTGCTTCAATTTCTCCACATCTTCACCAACACCTGTTATTTTCTGGACTTTTTGATAGCAGTTATCCTAATGGGTGTGAGGTGATATGTCATTGTGGTTTTGGTTTGCATTTCCCTGATCATTAGTGTCGGTAACCATCTTTTTATATACTTATTGGCCATTTGTGTGTCTTCTCTGGAGAAATGTCTATTCAAATCCTTTGCCTATTTTCTAATTGGGTAACTTTTTTTTGTTTGTTTGTTATTGCATTATAGGAGTACTGGATAGTCTGGCTGTTAACCCATTATCCGATATATGGTTTCCAAATATTTTCTACCATTCAGTAAGTTGCCTTTTCACTGCTGATGATTTCATTTGCTGCAACTTTTTGATAAATTTTTGATCATTAAAAAAATTTAACAATTTAAGTTCTCTGTGGTAAGACAGATAATAAAATCACTGAGCACACTGCCCCTTTTACCTGGGCTTCCAGATTATGACACCATGTGGCAGTGTTCCCCAAGATATCGTTTACAGGCCATTTGCACTGGAATCTTCTGGAGTGTCAACACATCGATTCCTGGGCCCCATCCCTTACCCGCTGAACCAGAATCTCTGGGAACAGGTCTGAGAACCTGCATTTGTAACAGGCTTTGCAAGTAATTCTTTTTCTGTTATTTTTTGGTCTTTTTTTGTTGTTAATCTTTACCCAAGGATATTTTTCAATTGATTTTTAGAGAGAGTGAAAGGGAGGGGGAGAGACAGAGAGAGAGAAACATTGATGTGAGAGAGACACATCAAGACCTGACGAGGGCCAGGGATTGAACCCCTGACCAGGGCCAGGGATTGAACCTGCAACCAAGGTACCTGCTCTTGACCAGAATCAAACCCAGAACCCTTTAGTCCGCAGGCTGACGCTCTACCCTCTAAACCAAATCAGCTAGGGCTGCAAGTGATTCATAAGCACATTAAAGTCTGAGTACCACAGCTAAGTGGTGCACAGGAAAATTTCTTTCTGGAAATGAATTTTTCTTGAATAAACCGCTGGGTTATATGCAACTTGAGCAAAGGGGTCATGGGTGGCAAAATCAAGTCAACTCCACAGGACACAGCTGAATGTCTCAGGGCAGGGCAGCTGCAGCCAGGACTTGCATCTCCTTTAATGTACATCTAGCCCCATCCACCAGGAACAACTAATAAACAACTTTCATATTTCCTGACAAGACCATCTCATTTTGCTCTAGCACTTCCTAAACCCACAGTGTCAAAATCAATACTTTAAAAAATCATTACAATTCTCATCCATTCATTCATTCCAGTTCAGCAGTTTGGTTTATCAAACATACATTAAGCATCTAATTAACATGTGTCAGGAAACTTAACAGTTGAGATAGGCTCTGCACAATAGAAATATAATATGAGCTACATATGTAATTTTAAATGATCTAATAGCCATGTTAAGAATAATATACTTTACTTAACCTAATATATCAAAAATATTACTTCAACATGTAATCAATAAAAATTACTAATGATATACTTTGCACTCGAATTTTTATAACAAGTCTGAAATCAGGTGTGTATTTTACACTTACAATACAAAGCCACTGAGCCTAGCCACTTCACGTGCTCAATGACCATATGTACTTAGTGGCTACTGCTTTGGACAGTGCAGGTTGAACAGGAAAGACAGGCATATAAACATAATTTCCAGCCTCACCAGACTCTTGACATTTGCAAGGGGCCTATAAAAAGATCTTCATGAATCTCCAAATTTGTAAATTCTGCTGTAGACATATCATTTCCTTTGTCAAGTACAATAAAGCCTATGATTAGCTAATACTTCAGTTCAGGATTCTACAAAGGAAGCTATTGCTCCACTTCTGCCATGAGGCCCTTACGGAAGAAGCCCAGAATGAATGGGATCATGCCTCCACCTTTCTAATGGCACTTCCCCAACGTTCTGCTTGTGGCCACCTTTCCTTGGGCGATAAGCAAAGAGGAGCAAGTTTCAAGTTGCTTATGGACTGTGAGTGCCATGTAAGAAAAAACAAAGGCACCAGTATTGTTAAATTCAGCATGACTTACCCACGAGTGGCGGAAGAGTCAGTAATAATTAAGACCCACTCAAAGAAGTAGGTGTCCAAGGGTTAACACATCAACGGAAACCAAGTTCCTAATTTTGATGTAACAACTTTGAGGGTGGGTGGGGCGGGTGAGTTAGTGAGGAACAGGCTACGACAAGAAATAAATGGGAAAGATGTCTCCCTGCTCAGAGGTGGGACGCTGTTGAGTTCAGCACCTCCTGCTTGGGTGA